GGGGGGTCCTAATGAGACTATCTGTACCCAACAACAAGCAGACCTCACTCAAGGCAGTTTCACACCAGTTCGAGGACCAACGCCCTCCCGAAAGGCACAATGTTATCAACCTAAGGCCTCCAGGAGATAGAACATAGTGCTGTTAACCTAAGCGTCCCGGGGGTCTATAAGTTCCTCCTGTTGCCTCCATCATTCCGAAAAACCTCTCTGAGTTTGACTGCCTTGTGCCCCAGGGCATCACTCCTACGACTGCCTTGATTGTCTTTGGCTGGCAATATTTGATTTTTTCTTTAATCTAGTTGTTTTTTATTTTCAATTTCGTACCGCTCTTATTTTTTTCAATGTAATATAAATTTGAATTTTAATGAAATATTTATTTAATGATTTTCTTTTAAGTTATTTTTATTTAAATATATTTTAAAAAAATTTAAAAAAAAAGGCGTGATGGGCGTTATCCACACCCTCGCGGTGTGATGGTGGTGTGATGGGCTATGAGGGGAAAGAGAAAAGTTGATGTGGCGTTGAGTGGGGTGGCGTGATGGGAGTGATCAATCACACCGCACCAAATGGTCTTAGTATGTTCTAACAAGACAAATGCTCGAAATAAATATAGTGTAACTTGCAAATGTGTAGATGCCACATGTACAGTACATACCATACCGTTCGTGCGTCCTAAATACTCCAAAGCACCTAAAGAGTATTATAGAGAACAAGTATTTACAGCAGTATATCTAAGGAGTCATACACAAGGGGAAAAAACTACTCCATATTGTGCCCCCATGGGATCGATGGGAGTATGGAAAGCATTGCAGTAGCTGCCTCTATAAACGACCTAAAAGACATCCTAGAGTTATACCAATGACCGCAACCATCACCACATACGCCAAAGGAAATCCAACTTGCACTCTTCTGACAACCTTCTTGCTTGTCATTACGGCCTGTTGAAAAATAAAAATAAAAATCAACGGGACGTGGTTAGTGAGGGATATCACTGAATGTGACACAGTTCATGTGAAGTAGCATGCACATGTAATGACTTTTAAAGCAAAAAGTAATTGATTTGCTCAACGAAATGCACTAATATTATGCAGAACACGAATTTAATCACTTCCTATCAAAAAGTAATTAATTTCTGTCCCATGGAATAGAATGGGAGAAGAAAACAAATGTATTCTGTAATTCTTTCCCTTGATATTACTCCGCAGGCAGGTTAGTGGCAACCGTGAACGCATACACGAGACTAAAAAATAAAGGGGGCGGTTCCGGGGGGTTGGGGGGTAGGAACCGTCAATTTTACGAACAAGGCACCGGGTCACCCCCGGGTCATCCCATGACATGGGGTTCCAATGTCATGGGAACCCCACCGAAAAATAAAACTAGAACTTATTGTTGTTAGTTATGACTATTAAAACAAAACTTCAAGGTCCCAAATTACAAGTTTTTCCCGTATTGCAGAAAAAACTTGACCGGAAGTGATATCTGCAACACAGAAAAGTAATACTAACATAAACTTTGGTGACCGAAATATTGTTTGGCAGTTTTTCTCAATGATGTTTTTATTCCAATTCTATGATTTCATAGAATACAATTAACTACACCAGCGACCATAAGAAGAATTTATAGAATTACCAATTCCCTTCGTAAACCCTCTGTCTCTTGAGTGATGTCTTTCCTTTCCTGTGTCAGCCTAGCAATGGTTGCTTCGGCCTTGAACAAAATATGCAGTACATCAGCAATAGTAACATGATGAATCAATACAACACCAACAACGACGACAACAACACAGTAAATTCCAACTCCATTGGGGCCTGGAGGCATCAAGATGTGCGCAGTCTTACCCCTATAAAGACAGAGAGACTGTATCCATTAGACCCGAGATGCATTGCTGCACTTACGGCCAATAACTTATATTAATCAGGAGTTTCAAGTTTTAGGAAGACCTCGCATTCATTCCAAACTATAACACATCCAACCTAGTAGCCTACCAACATATAATTATAATATTGGAAAATTGTTTATAATTATAAACAAGTCTACCCATGTTCTACCAGCAGAGATGTATTTTGAACCTGATTGACTGATTCATGGGCACTACCCACTTTCACCCCACTCATATGTGGGAGGTGAAGGTACACACTCTCCACCCTAGCCATAGCCATCATATATTTGTTTAATATGCACAAACTGTGATTACCTAGGTATCATCTGGAAAAATAAATCAACTGGTACTCAATTAATGACAGAGGAACATCAAGTTGGGGATCAACATATGGGGGCTTCCCTTTCTAGGATGAAAGATAAATATTTAGTGATCGACAAGGGAGAGCAAGTCATTTCATGCACACCTGTGCCGTGACACATAGTAATTAGCCACAGCAGATTCAAACAAAAACAAACCCCACACGACCCAATAAAGACCAACAGGACAAATAATCCAATGCTACTCTGCTAAATGCTAATGGTGTTGTTTATACAGTGTATCCTCAAATAGACCATTAGGGGAGATATAAGAAAAGTAGGGGTTTTATAGGTGAAAAAAGAAAAGGAAAAACTTCAATCCAGTGTCTAAAACGTCCAACTTTAAAAATGTTAAAAAAATTCTAGCAAGAAACTAATTTTCTAAAAAGCATTGGACATCTACTAGGTGACAGACCTGAGCCTAGCAACTAGGAATGCTTTAGGCATGGATTAATCATAGCCTATGCGCTCTTAGGCAGGAACAAAAAAGTAGGCTAGAAATGGAAGCCTTGCACCTAGGCTAGGCAGGAAATTTCAGAGCTATAATAACATGGTAAATTCAAAATATCAAAAACCACAAAGAGATACCTGATTTGGGTTATAAAAAAAAACTACTCGTAATACACAGCCCTCACCGCGCTTAATTGTAGTTCAAGTTCATGAAGTTTTGACTTCATCTTCTCCTTGAAAGATTCCATCTCTCCCACATTGTTATTTGCTTTGGCTACTAAAAGCTTCTTTTCCACAAACTCCATGCCATTTTCTTGTTTTAGCTCCATACTCCCACCCAACTGAAAAAAACAGTAAGAAATGGTCTAGAACGATAACGAGGCTTCAAGCAGCATTACTGTAGAAGCATTCCCAGATGACCCCAGTACCCCGCTAAAGAATCAAACTGAACTTAGTGACAACTCAATGATGCATGTCAGTATGTCACATATGTATGGTGGCACTTTCTGAATCTAAATGTATCTCTTACTTCAGAAAATGTACTGAGTTTTGCACTATCAAAAGCGTCGTCAGCTAGAACATCTCTTGGCAGATGACTGCGCACTTCATTCATTGGTGACACTACTGGCGAGCTGGATGGACTGACAAGGACCACCCTTAGCTTGTTTTCTTGCACATATTTTCCATCGTCTTTAGAAAACTAGGGAAATGAGAACAGAAAAGGATACATCTTTACATCAACATAGTATAACATCATATTATTGTAAATTGTGACAATGAAATACTAATAAATATGGGACACTTACCATCTCTGAGATGATGTCATCTTCAGAAGTCTCCTCAGGTACAACTGTGGCTTGAACTAAGAACTTGTCCTTGCATATCATATCAATAGGCGGATCACGTTGCGCTTGCATAGTTACTTCTCACATAAATATTTGTGAATGCGTTAATGCAAGACTAATATATAAGAGGAAATTACTCATAAACCAATGAATGATTGAAAAGTGGTAACTGACATTATTCTACTTCCCAATCGGAGAAATTTTAATTGTCCAATATAAGGGATGTGCTGGGCTTTTTCAATGATTAATTCAAAAATACAGCTAAGAAGATTATAAATAGACATGACATTCTTTCTCATCATCATCACCATGGTCATAAGTCTTAACCATGTTAGGCTGTTGGCAATAAATTTACTTTTGGATTTTGTAAAGTGTGCACTTGGGGAAATTGATAGAAAGCAATTAATGAGTATTTAATGTTTATAAACCTATGGATTTCTTGAACTTTTCTTAATAACGAAGATAAAATTTTATTGATAATCATACCAATTTTTCAAATCATGTGTACTTTTTGTGGAAATTTGCAAATTTTTACTTGAAACTTAAGGGCCCATTTAGTGAGCGAAACATGGTTGATATTATATGAACTCTGAAATCTGGAAGAAATGATACGAATTTTGAAATCTAAAATGAAAGTGTTTGGAGACAACTAAAGTAGCACCTAGATCTGGAAAAAAGAGACGAAGAACATGATCAATCCGGAAAAAGGGGACAAAAATGTAAAAAAAGATGAAGGTACCCTTTGAATTAAAAAAATGAAGAAGAAAGAGAAAAGATTGCGAACGAGTGAGAGTGAAATCAGCTGAATTCAACATTTGATGTCAGGCCATATCAAGACACGGCTGTTGGCAGATTTGAACAGATTTCAAGGCACGACAGTCCACAGATTTTGAGAGTTTCCATATCTCCTGATAAAAACGTTAAACCCATTTTTAGTTCACTAAACACTAATTTTGGAAACTTGATACCAGAGATGATAAAACCCATAACTGTTTAGCTCACCAAACACGTCCTAAAAAAGCACACTAATTGCTCTGTATCATGCACTTTAAGGCGCACATTAGAAAATCCTAAAATTAGTAGTGTTAGTTAATTATCTAATACTCCCTCTGTCTCGAAGTATTTGTCCGGTTTCTTTTTGGCACAAAGACCAATGTAAGGTGAACAATGTCTCAAATACAACTTATGTTGGGTATCCTTCCTCACTCCATCATCTATGACCGCTCAGCTCTCCCAATCGAATGCCGCACAACCCACCCCAACTTCCTCCAGCATCCTGCCAGACAGCCCTCCTCCTCCCACCCCCCACCTAGCTTGTTGTCATAGAGCAAACCATAACAAGAAACAGAGCATGCCAGAGAATTAAAAAACTAAGAACTCATCATCACCGTCATCTAATACAATCCACGGGTGCTTGATTTCAGGTCAGAGTTCTTTTTCGGTCAAGCTTTGAAAAGTCACATGAGAAGACAGGGGCCGCTACAAATGGTACCCAACGGGCGGCGACTCACATGGAGGGTGCAATAAGGAAAGTGGAGGGTTGGGAAAGGTTGGTAGACATAGTGGAGGGCATATAGACTTTCCATCTCATTTATGTTGTCTTAAAACGAAAGTGGGCATATAATGTGGGACAACCCAAAAATGAGTGTTGGACAAAGACTGCATGACGGAGGGACTATGAAGTATTAGTTATATAAATTCATGCAAAAAAGCACAATTGAAATTTTTTACACCAGATGCCTTTCAGCCGTTTCTGGTGAATAACATCTTACGAAAGGATAATAAAATGAAATTTCAAAACTATCACCGTCACATGGTTTTTTCACATGAATGAAAATGACCAGGACCTGCAATGGTGATGAATTGGGATAGTTGATGTAGATAGGTTTGATTAAAATTTATAAAAATTAACACCCCCATCGCAAAACATGGCCATGACATGACAATATCATAAACCCCAAAGTTTTAATGAGTTTTTTTTGCGTGATTTACCCCCGAAGTTTTCATAAAGTGCATGTTCTCCCCTGAGTTTTTAAAATTGTACCATTACTCCCTATACATTTCAAAAAGTGCATGCTTTACCCCCGGACATTTTGTAAAGTGCATGTTTTCCCCCCTGAACTTCCAAAAGTGCATCAATAGTCCCTATAATTTTCATAAAGTTTGTCCCCCCCCCCATTTCAAGCCTTATATTTTAAAAAATGGTGCATGGTTGAAACCTTGATAATTCCACTTGCTTGACCTACGCCTCTAACCAAACTTGAAAAAAAAAGAAAAAAAAAACTACGACACAATTGCTAATTGTCTGCTTGTCAAAGTCTTCTCAAGCCTCAGTTGAAATGGCTGGTGGAGTTTCGTGAAGACGCCATTGATGAGTTTGTTTTTTTAAAAGTTTGGTTAAAGATGCTACTCAACAAAGATAAATTTTTGAAACCATAACGTGTATAATTTCTTGAAAAAACCACAAATGTCTACAGATTCTTGAAGAAAAAAAAGTTCATCAATGGTGTTTTCATCAAGCTCTAGCAGCAGTATCAACAAAGGCATGAGAAAAACATTTTGACAAGTAATTAGCATTTTGTCCTCCAAGACTCCAAGTCATTTTTTTCTTTAATTCAAGTTTAGTTAAAGACATTGTTCAAACAAGAGATTTTTAGGAATTCAATCATGTACCTTTTTTTAAAAATATAGAACTAATGATGCACTTTTGCAAGTTTAGGGAGAGCACGCGTTTTATATAAAAACATAGGGACTAATGGTGCACTTTTGATTGTCCGGGGAAGGCTTTATGGAGTTCGGGGGAAAAACACACACTTTATGAAAAGTATAGGGATTAATTATGCACTTTTGATAGTTCGGGGGGGAAACATGCAATTTATAAAAAGTTTGGGGGTAAATGACGCAAAAAACTCAAATTTTAATTATTTAAGATTTAGCAAGTAACTAGTATTTGCATGAATGGCTTTCACATGTCAATTAAGCAATGATGGAACAAGCAAAAGCTGAACTGTTGATTAGAGGCAGTTTATTAGATGAAATGGGCACATTCCATTGAGTAGAGTAAGGACATTGTTCAGACAAGCGTCACTAGCCAAGTTGATATAACTCCGATGTATAGGGTTGGGAAACCTTGTATTATGACCTCAACGAGGATTTCAGAGCATCAGTGTTTTAATTTTACTCATCGACATGGTGATCATCATTAATTAAGGACTAGTTCGACTGCATATTTTTGGTTTTTTTTTGGTTTTTTTAAAGTTATACTCCGTATGATTTATGTTGTATAATGAACTGCAAATATTCGCAGTTACAACAATAATGTAAAATTTGAAAACTGTTAATTAAACCAAAATCTACTTTTTGTGGCTTCGATAATATAGTTTATTGTTTTCATAAAATAGAAAATGATACTAAATGATGCCTAAAGTAACATGAATGAAAAACTTGGATTCAATTCCTCTCAAAAGTAGCCTCTATTTGCATATATCTTACCCTAGACTGTATGTCCAAGGGAGATACCAAGTATGTCTGGTTTTGATAGGAATGAAAGTGGAACTGAAAGGGGAAAATAAGGACAAAGGCGATTAAGAATGCTTTGAGTAAGGATTTCACTAAAAAATTGTCAATAGTCAGCAATGGAAAATCTCCGATTGACAATAATAATATGTTTATTTCTCCATGATGAAAAATACAAGACATAGATCAGATTATTTTTAGTCTGATTCCAGCTGAATAATAAGATAAATGAAATCCCTAAAAATTAGAGATGAGAACAGACTAACCTTATCCTAACCTTATTAGATCCTACAAATCAGCAGCAAATGAAAAATATAATATAATAAAATATTCCAAAAATTAATAATTAATAAACATCATGTGCCGGATTCTTAACATTATTATAATTGGTATACTATCAATATCCTCCTCTTGGAAATTTCCTTGTCCTCAATGAGAAAAATAAGCAAAATGTTTTTTTGTATAAATGGGGGTTTAGGGGTGGGGTGGAAAGAAAAAAATAAAAGAAATGGTTTTGAGCCAATTGTATCTTTGGAGGGGACTCCACCCTGTTGAAGTTCTTGCTCCTATGGTACCCAACAAGATATTAGAGAAGAATGTTGAATCCATTGTAGCATAATGTAGTGATGTATTTTCTGGCAGAAAGTATTATGATTTGAATGCTAGCTTGCGTGAGATTCGTGAGAGAGGATGATCATTCATTTGCTGTTTGTTGTCGCTATTGTACTCCAAAGTAGAAGATGTTTTATACTGAACCTCCAAATCTCGTTTTATTTCATAGTTGTGTTCAAGCGCTTCTAGTACTGTTTGAATCACAATAACCATTCATAAAATTCATTATGTATTGTCTAAGTACCTTCCTCATTGAACACATGATCCAACATCCTCATCGAACTAAATTTAAGTACATGTCATATATCCTGTTTAAAGTACCTTAGTATCAGAACTACACTTGGTTTGGTTGAGAGGAAGGAAAAAGGGGAGTGAAGAAAAGAAGAAAATTGAAATGACAATTTTACCAATACTATGGGTGTATTAATAAACTTCTAATGAGGGCAATTGTGGAAAAAAATGGCTCATTGGATGGAGTTTTCCGCCCATAGTTGGAGAAAAAGAAAGAGAGGTCCCACCTTTTTATTACAAATCCCATTTTCTTTCCTTTTCGATTGATCTAAACCATGAAAAATTTATATGTTTTCCATTCTCGTTCTGTCCTCCCATTTTCTCCTCAAACAAACACATGGTTAATGTTTCATTGCATTTCAAAGGTGTTCTATAACAACGACATCAACAACCAAGCCTTATCATGTATCATATCTGCAGCAAAATCATTCACACATAGATCATTTCAAAGGTGTTTCTATAATACTCCCTCCGTCCCTTTTGTATCTTCCCACTTTCCATTTTGGGTTGTCCCTCTTGAATCTTCTCACTATCCCTAATTTAGTAACTTTCTCCACTTCAAATGACTACATTACCCTTCACATTTACTCCAACCCAACCCATCCTAAATACTACCCCACCTACCCACCTACCCAATTTCATCCCACCATCCCCATCCTAAATACTACCCCACCTACCCACCTTTGATTGCCCCTCCCGATTTCTCTCAACCCTGCGTCCAGTGACGGCAAATCAGAAAGTAAAGCAGAGAATTAGAAGGGCGGAAAAAACGTATAAGGAGGGATGTGGCAGCGACTGACCTGAGGCGTCCGATGACAGAAATACTCCCTTCCACCGGCATGGTGGGAGGCATCACCGATGACGGAAGCATTTGGTGGCCGTGGTGGGGGAGGGGGAGGCTGACATGACTTGTGAGGCGGTGTGGAGCCTTGGAGGAGTGTTTAAGGTGAGCATTTGGATTTAGGGGAGGGCATTTTAGTAAAGCCAACAATATTTATCACGTTCCTAAATACTTGTACCAAGTCAATGTGGGGAGATTGAAGAGGGACGGAGGGAGTAAAAATATTAACAGATATAGTCTGGTGGGGCTTTTTCAATTGCTTCAGTACTTGCACAACTCTATATAAGAAGTCCAGTTAGAATTTTGGTAGACTACATGTCTACATTACTATAAGAACGAGATAATAAGTAGTTACAAGGATATTACTTGTGAAATCACGTGATGCCTTAGGACTAAAGATTCCCACATTTGGCCGAACAGAATACTTCTTTGGATTCGTAGTTTTGACCTGTTCAAATTCCAACAAAGAAACTAATAAAAATATAACTTGAATACAACAAACTTCTTACTTCTAATAGTCATTACATGTCTGAAGAAAAGTACTAGTTACCTTAAAAGCAACACACTTGTCAGACTTATTGGCTAGGCGGATAGAGCATGAACTTTGCTTCCTTGGTTCAACTACAGAAGGATGGAGCAAATAAAATATCAATTAAAATTGTCATGACTGATCTAGGATTTCATCGGATAGTTATTAATATTAGCTTCTTATTCTTATTATAATTAGTACTAATAGTTTCCTTTTAGTAGTTTCCTATCATCTAGCTTTTCTAAGTTGTGTTCTGGTCAAACCCTACTTGTATGAATTTTGCCTATTTGTATCCTTTTTTCCTTTCATTAATTATTAATAATCATCTAGAAGTAACTAAGGAGCATAGAGGTCATGGAGTCTTGTTACTCTAATCGCAAGTCACGGATAAATGATTGGAACCCTGTAAGCCATCATCTTTATCAGCAGAGACCTCTCGGCTGTGCACAAGGGACATTAGGCATGCACTCAACAGTTTCTAGCATAAGTAAGAGCAGCTAATGAAGAAACGGTAGGGACTAATACTCGTACATTATCTGATATGCATTTGCGTGCAGAATATCTATTAACAATTTAACACAGCCACTACTTGCACAGCTTCACTGAAGCAAATAAACTACAGAGTAATACTACACACTGAACCTGGAAAATTTACTTAATTAACAACACAATCTCTTAAATTATAAGCCTTTGCATCCATGATCATTTTTTGTTTTTGTTTGTCCACAAGTGGTATAAAAATTTAATGATAGGCTAGATTTACATCTTACATGTGAATCTGACATCCCGCGGTATAATATCCACCAGATCAAAACTCATGGCTCTTTTTCAGCTTTAACATCCAGTGGCCCTACTATAACCAATTGCACTAGATATCTCTTGACTGCAATACAAATCAAAAAAAATTTTATAACGAAAACCCATAATAAATACAGCTATTGAAAACACAAGGAAAAGATCAAAAGAGCAGCAGCGTTTACTCAGAGATAGAGAAATGCACAGATTGATTAAACACATTACATCAGCTCAGCTTTATTAAATGAGAGGACAGGGAAATATGCAAAATAAATCAGTTCGTGGAGTTCTACTTCACACCTTACATGAAACAGAGCCTTGGTAGACCAGTTGAGGTGTTTCCATGTGACCTTGAAGTCAAGGATTCAAGTACTGAAAGAGACCTCTTGCAGAAATACAATTAGTGTATATGGTGAGATCTTTCCTCAAACCCTCACTAAGCAAGGATGCTTTGTGTATTGACAAGTAGAATACTCGTAGAGTCGTAGTCTTGGGTTTAATTGAAAAAAATGATAACTACTAACTTCGTCGATTAATGAACTTCATCGTTTAAATGGTCTACAATGTCCATCATCATTGACAATTATTACCAACAATTATGTTATGTACTAATATAAATTATTCAAAATATTAGAATACTCCAAGTAGAATACTTGTATAGTCTTATGTTTTATTAACCAAATTTATAACTACAAACTCCTTCGATTAACTGATAACAACTACGAAATGGTCTATGATGCCCATCATCATTGACCACAATTATTTACAATAATATGTACTAACATAAAGTGTTCAAAATAATAATCCCTTTATGATATCAATTATGAACTTCATGAGGGTTTGGAGGGTCAACATGTATGCAATCTTACCTCGTACAAACGGAGAAGTTGTGTAAGACCCTTGATGCTTTAGTGCATGGATTACAAAAAACTTTGTAGGAAGTAAGAACTGAAAGTTCAAAGTGTCACATCGCTCCATTTTTTAAATTTTATAAAAAATTGAAGCACATCTCCTAATACAAACTGGTCACAAGTGCTTCCATATTAAAATATACTTCCAAAATAAGGTTTCATATTTTTGCAACACAATTATTACGAAAGCTAAAATTGCGTGGTTGAGACTTATGCGGAGGAGGGAGAAATTCAGTAAACCGCAAAGTTGTATAATTAAGGGGAAAGTGGAACCATCTTTTAGCACAAAACAAAAAGAAAATGTGGAACTACTTTATGAATAGAGGGAGTGATATAACTTATCTGAAATTAAAATCAAAATTAATGAAATTTGACTTTAAAACATAAATTGTGGCGTTTATTTAGAACGAAAGAGGACGTATATATATTTTAAATTTTTTTTAAAATTAGCAGTTAGTATATATTGTTAGAATAGTATTCTAAACATATTCTAAACATTCATAAACCAACAAACACAACCTAGTTTACATTGTCTACCCTCGTATTCTTCTAGGCTTCAAACATTGGATATTGAACGTGCTCAATTATAAAATCATCATAAATCATACGGAAAAAAACATCTCACTTTGCTCTCTACATGTGTTGCTAAAGAATCATTTAACCATTACTCACAGAATTTCAATGACTTGTTCATACTTAACCATAACTTATTTTAATGGTTGATCCCAAGACATAGGACCATTTGGATTCAAATTGGAACCATCCTTACTAGATTTAATTTCTTAAAATCTTTGTTGCTTTATGTTAGTTTAATATTTTTGCTCTTTGCAACTAAATTCCTATGAACTATTAGTACTCAGTATAATCATAAACTATAGGAAAAAGTGCACTGATTACCTTCGAATTCTTTGAAAATTGCACGATTTACCCTGAACATTAAAAAATGTACCAAATACTCCTGAACAATTTAATACGTCGCACTGTTGGTCCCTTTTAATATATACAAAAAAATTATATTAAAAACTAATTGTAAAGACTAAATTGCCCTCCCCCTTCTCATATACTCCATACGGGGTAACTTGTTTTGCTTTTGTTTCTTTTTTTATTTTATGATTTATTGAGCATTTAGATTAGAAATAATAGTTGATCCAAGTTTGGGCAGATATTTAGACTGCAGTACGTGTTGACAGCGGTGGGGAACCAGCAGCGGAGGGACAATATGAGAAGGGGGAAGGCAATTTAGTCTTTACACTTAGTTTTTAATATTATTTTTTCGTACATATTAAGAGGGACCAACCATGCATCGTTTTAAATTGTTCAGAGCACTTTTTAATGTTCAATGGTAGACCATCCAATTTCCAAAGAGTTCTATTTTTCTCTATAAATTAATGTATTCATGTAAACCGTAAACATACACAAACAATTGTCTCAATCTTACTGTAATTTAATTTCAAATTTACCTATTATTTGAATAATTTGAAATGTAATGATCTACAGTATAATTTAATGAAAATCATCCGAAATCAAATGAAAATACGACATTCATTTTCACAAATAAAAACACAAAGCCACCGACTTACCAACCTAGATAAAATCAAGGAACGGAAGGGTGGACAGAGTGCGATCAGAATTCGGCGGTGATAGCTATTTTCTTCGACTTTCTACCGCCCATGATTTCCTTTTATGCGATTTCGTTCGGAAGTTTGAGCCGCTGCCTGTGCCCTGTTGGTTGATTTGACGAAGGTCGGTATACAAATGAGGGAGTACTCTGTATGAGCCCGGTCGTATAGTTCCCTCTTCTGAATATTCCGGTCGGATGATAAAACTACTCCCTACTTTCTTATCGGGAAACTCTTTTTATGTTAATTTTTTTATCTAATCATTACCATTTTTTTACTATAAATTGCGAGAAAATATAGTACTCCGTATTAATTTGCAATAAATACTTAATATAATTAAGTTTACTTTAAAATATAGTTTTGATATATCAAATTCTTATAACGTATATTTATTTAAATTATGTTAAATTTATAATTAAAGACTATGTTTATTTGACAAAAAAATGTCAAAGCAAGAAGAATTTTCAAAGATGTAAGAAGTATATTTTAACATTTGATGATATACATAATCCTTTTGTTTGTCAGAATATAAACCGTACAATTAGTTGTACGGTGTTTTCATGCATGTGTGATGAGTACTCATTAAAGAGTAACTGAATATTTATTTTCGAGCTACTAAATACTCATATTCAAGTAACTTAATCTTCAATTTTTAAAAATTTGTTATGCTTGAAAATGTATATTTTGTTCCTTGAAAATGATTATTCATTCAATCATTCCCATGTGCGAGAAATATACATCTAAATTTATAGTATATGTACTCAACAATAGTTCAGTCTCAAAGCATCCGAGGTTGACAATTGGATTATCTACATAGCATTTTTTTACACATCGATGTACTTATTTACCAAAAGTCTAGTATGCCATTTAATGAGACAAATGCTAAAGAGTAAAGATGCGTTCTATTCGCCTCATCTAATCTGATTTTTTGAAGTTTTGGTATGATTCTATGAGATCTGATCTGATAGGATCTGATTGGATCTGATTTGATATACATTTAATGAAAATTAAAATTATTATCATTATCCATACTTTATTTTAAAAACCATGGAGTCAACCTTTGTTTTTCCCGCCCATGCGTTATTACATTAACAAATGGCAATTGTTCACTTAAAATGGTAAGTTGCCGAAAATATAATAATAAATATTAAAAACTTACGACCGTGCTTAATTTCCATGCGTTATTACATTTATAAAAATGACAATTGTTCACTTAAAATGGTAAGTTGCCGAAAATAGAATAAAAATTATTAAAAACTTGCACATGTGCTTAATTTTTCATGCGTTATTACATTTACAAATGGTAAGTTAATTATTATGAATTTAAAATTAATATTAGTTTTTACACACAATGCCTTTAAAAACGTGAAATAATAAATCTAAAAAATAATAATTATTAGTATTATTGATCTAAAAAATGGTTTAAAAGATATAAATACAGTTCCCTTTTTATCACACTCAATTTATCAATTCGTATGGAGTGTACTAATTGTACAATTTCGTACGTTATTTTAACCTCTTTTTTGTGTAGGGGCGTTCGAAATTTGTTCCTTTTTTTATCACACGGTATTTTCATACCATAATTGTCATTTTTATACACCCAATTAGAAATAATTACAAACGGTAAGTTATACAATTGAACACGAACAGTTTGATCTCTGATTTTTTAAAATTACTTTTTCAAAACGTGATATTATTAATCTAAAAAAAATACTATTACTATTAATCTAAAAAGATGGTTTAAAAGCTATAATAAATACTCTTCCTTTTTTATCACACGGTAATAACCAGTTTTAACACGTAATCATTTTTAAAAAGGGACAAATAATATGACACCGTTTATAATTGGTAATTAATTATTAATCTAAAAGATAATTATTATTATTAATCTAAAAAATTAATCTAAAATAATGGTTTAAAAGCTATAATAAACGAACAATTATATTTATACTAATTAACGCATTAAAAATTCAAATCTAACATACATTATTAACGTCATTTTTAAATAAAGGTAATTTCATTTTTATAAAATATAAAAATAAAATTTAGTGATATTGTTTATATGGAGTGTGACTTGATTATAAATATAATTATTATATTTATAGTAATTACCATATTAAAAATTAAAATCTACATTATTAACGTAAGTTTTAAATAAGGTAATAGCCTATTGCATATTATACATTTCCAAATTGTAAGTTTTAAATAAAGGTAAATTCAACAATTGCAAAGCCTAAGATTTAGAAAATTCAAAATAATTAAAAAAGGAAAGTTATACAATTATACACTAAATTTCGTTTAAAAAATAATTATCAGTAAGATTAAGTATTTTATTATACAATTACACACCGAAATTCGTAAATTTTATTATACATCAACCAAATTTTCGTACAATAACAAATAATATAAATACGGTACTCTTCCAGTACGAACATGGGGATTATTACCACAAATAATATAAATACGGTACTTTTCCAAATTTTTGTACAATAACAAATAATATAAATACGGTACTTTTACAATAAAAAATAATATAAATACGGCACTTTTCCAAATTTTCGTACAATAACAAATAATATAAAATACGGTACTTTTCCAATACGAGCATGGGTATTATAAATCGCTTTTTGTACGAATATGGGGATTATTACCACTTTAAAAAATGTTGATGAGAGGTCAGGACTATTGATGATGAATCATTGGATTATTATCACGTTCCTGCTCATTCTCGAGGGCCAGAATTATTGGATATTATGTTTCACGACTCAGAGGTTAGTTCTACATTATTTTATATTTTACATATAATAAATCTTTTTAAAAAATTAAATTTAACTATATGTAAACATTTTATATTTGTTGTTAGGACGATCAGATCCATGCTCAGATTAAAGATACTAATATACACACATTCAAAGAAGATTTGCGGTACAAATAATGTAGTCTATAAGCATTTCGAAATTTGTAAAGCGTTGATGTTTCTCACCTTAAAATAACATAATCTCTATCTTCTATTGCATCTCATTTTTATCATTGAAAAATGATTTAAATTTAATAACATAAAAATGACCCGTGCAACGCACGGGTGTGATACTAGTAGTTATAATAATAATAATAATAATAATAATAGAAATATTAATATTAATATTAGTAATCATAATAATATAGAAATAATAATAGTAATATCTATAATAATTGTAATAAGAATAGTAATAATAGTAACTACTATAATAATAATATATAAAAATAATAACAATAGAAATAATAATAATATTAATAATATTCTTGTCTGGTGTCAGCAACGTGGCACAAGAATGCTTCACACTTCTTTTGGATAAGTCATTTCGTTTGCATAAATGACATGATATATGAACTCCTGAGGCTAAGAGAACAACTCCCCTTTGACCTCCTCAACGTTACCATCGTCGGTCTTCAATCGTACAATGCGTAGTCCGCAGTCAAATATTGCTTGGTGTTCGGTCATCCAGTCCACACTAAGGAAAATGTCGAACTTCTTATATGGTAACTCGATTAGATTTGCAGACAGTCGGTGTCCCTGAGCCATCAACAGACAGTTGCAGTATAGATGGTGTAGTCGCATGATGTGCCCTAACGGGTTAGATACTACCATTGGATACTCTAGATCGCCTTTCTGAATGTCAGATTTCTCAGGCATAGGGATGCAAATATACGACATCGTGGATTCTAGATCAATTACTCCAAGAATATGAGTACCAAATAGCAAAAACATACCCACGATGACCTCACGGTTGACTTCGGTACGCCCTTGCATGGCGTAGTTGTGTGTGTTAGAATAAGAGACTACCGCTAGACGGGGGGGTGAATAGCGTTTGATCAAAAATCACAGGAATAAAAAATGAATAAACGAGAAGTAAAGAAAAGAGTAAGAGGCACACCGATTTTACCCTGGTTCACCACAACTTGTGGCTAATCCAGCCCCCCGAGAGACTCTCTCGAGCTACACTACTACCTCGTTAAGCTTAACGGTGCTTAACAAACCCGTACAACTTGAGAATTCGAGTCACACGAACCTCAACGAACCTTCGAAGGAAACAGCCCTTGTAACGTCCCAAAACATACCTTAGAATTATTAATAGATAATTATTAAAATAAATCAAATTTGTTTTGATTAAAATAAATTTTTATGGGCTTTGGGCCGATAAAAATATGTTTTGATATCCCATATCACAAATCAGGATAAGTCTCAAAAAAAAATAAATCCAATATGTTGACTAATTGGGTAATCTTGGTTGGGAACCTGAGTACGGACCCAAATTAAGAATAAATGAAGAAATTGTTTACTTTGAAATGGTTTATTGAAATAAATCATGAGAGTAAATAATATGAATTGAATATAACACCTTTTATAGTAAAGGTCAAACAAATCAATTTTGACTCTGTCAAAGTCAACCACCCAAAAATATGATGTCGGAAAAAGTATTACAAATAATTATGAAAAGTATATCGTTAGATAGAGCTCGACTGTCTGATCGCAACGGTGCAAACAGATTTCAATTTGGAGAAAGTTGGACCAAAAAGTGTACCCCGACTGGAACCAAAATAGGTCCCAATCAGGGAACTGTTTAGACGTCGCCTCCTTCCCCACTTCGCCGATCGCAGAATTGTGGAGTCACCATAGTTGTTTTCTTCTTCTCTCCTTCTCATTATATAAGAGAACCCAACCTTCTCATTTCTTCACCATTCTTCTTCATTCTTCTTCAAAGTGTTCATGAAAGTGTGAGGAGTGTTGTGGTGCTGTCAATTTGGTGTGAAGTCGCTGGAGTTGGGAAAAATACTCGCCGGAAGTTTTGCCGGAAAATTTCCAAAACCTCCATTAAACTTCGAAGTAAGCCCGTAGATATATCTAATGACTAGAATGTTCATATAGGTCATTTCTACGTTCATAAATGGTCATTTGGTTGAGTTTTGTGTTTGACATGCTTGAAGAACTAAGAATCATAAACCATGAAATTGATGTTAAAATTATGAATTAATGATGCTAAAATGATCTATGAACCTTGGAGAACACTTTTATATACTTTAATTGAAGTTTGGTGAGTAAAAGTGACATTTCCGCAAGTTGGCTCGAGGTAGAAGACGATGGATAATCGATTATCAACTTGAAAATCGATTATTCATCGTTCTGCAGATTTTT